AGGGTGGCACTACTAGTCCAACCTCTGAGGCAAGGGTGCGAAGACCAGTCAGCAAGAGTAGAAGCTAAACAAAAGCAACCCAGGACGGCTCTACGAGTTTGGCCACTAGAACAGAAGCCAAAAGGCCAATCAGAAGAATATAAAAGAGTAGTACACACTCAAGGTCCTAGCAAGCGAGGAGCTACTGGAACTAGACCAAGCTGTACACAGTGTCGCTGATGATCTTTAGGCGCAAGCGCCTTCGTAAAGATATCAGATGTGGGTGGCAACGGAGGCCAAGTGAACTACGCGGGCCTGGCGTCGCTGCTGTAGCTCGCGCAGGAGGAAGTACCGCAGCTGGATGTGCTTCGCCCTGCCCTCCAGTCGAGGCTCCTAACACAGGAGGATCATGGCCCTGTTGTTAGCGTACAGGACTGGGGCAGAGCTAGGCCACTCACCTAAGTCTATGAGCAAGAAAGTCAGCCAACGGAGCTCCTATGACACCATGGCATCGGCGTAGATCTCAGCCTCACAGCTCGACTGTGCAACAGATGACGAGCAGGTGGACCTCCACGAGATGGCGCCTGCACCAAGGCTAAAGCAGTAGCCCTGGGAGGACCTGAGTGTCTCAGCATCGTCCGCCTACAAAGCATCTGTGTGTCCTATAAGGACCACTGGCCTGTGTCCTCCTAGCACTATCCCCATGCCCGATGTACTTGCTAGATAACGCAAAACCCTCTTAGCGGCCGACCAGTGCTATGTTCGGTGTCTGCCTGTCGCCACAAAGCGAGCCAGGATGCTGAGAGGGTATGCAAGATCTAGACGAGTGCAAGTCATCAGGTACATAAGGCAACCCACCAGCTCTGTGTACGGACCATTAGGCTCTATCGACTCCTCGGAGACTGGAGCCGAGAGCCTGTCATCTACTGGCAGAGATGTGGGCCGTGCGGAGGAGAACTGAAGACCGAACCTCTGAAGGACCTGGCGCACCCATTGTGACTCTGTGAGAGTGATGGTGTGCGCTGCTTTGTCCCTGGAGATCTGCAGCCCAAGGTAGCGACGCAACACTCCTAGGTCAGTGCCGGTGTGTCTCCTCAGCAGCTCAGCCTTCACGGAGGCCAGTGCGTCTCTGTCTACAGTAGCGAAGACAAGGTCATCTACGTAGACTAGGATGTAGAACGTGGTCTGGCCTGAACGAACGAAGAGCAAAGGGTCTATAGAGGACGGGAAGAAATGCAGGTCAGCTAACGTAGAATGCCACTCATGGGGCGCCTGTCGCAGGCCGTAAACTGGGCGCCGGAGGAGCCACTCGGTCCCAGGGGTGAAGGTGTCGGTAAAGCCTGGCGGACGGCGCGGGTAGACCTGCTCATGCAAACTACCCTGGAGAAACGCTATGGAGTAGTTGAGGGAGTGTAGCTCGTAGTCACGCTATGTTGCGACATGTAGCAGTGCCCGAAGCGTAGTCATGTTCGGGGTCAGGGCAAAGGCCTGAAAGAAGTCAACACCATCGCGCTAACTGAAGCCACTAGCAACGTAGCGCGTCTTGAACACCGATGGCTCTCCAGGAGGGCGCTTCACCTTGAAGAGCCATCGGCCATCGACTACGTTCACCGTAGGTGGGCGAACTGCGCCAATGTAGGTGCCAGTGGATCTCCAAGATGCCATCTCCGTGTCCATGGCAGCTATCACCTGAGAGGCCCTGGGTCCCGAGGTCACCTCAGCGTAAGTGCGAGGGGTCGAGATGTGAAAGGAGTCTGGGTCACCCTCAGGGACTAGTAGCATGGAGCATAGGTGGGGAGCGGCCTCGGACATGAAAGCTTGCTCGTATTGCTTGTTCTCTGGGACGTTAATGCCAAGGGCAAGTTCACCCCTGACAGACGGAGGACGGGCAAGGTCAAAGACCAGAGCGGTGGTGTAGTCAAGGCGACGGGTAGAGGCAAAGTCAGCGATTGCAGCGACAAGAGCTGAAAGACTAGAGACAGGAATGGACGGGTCAGTAACAAGAGAGGCGAGAACGCGAGGAACAAGCGGACTGGCGGCACGGAGGAAGTCAGAGAGAGGAGGCAGAGTGACAACAAACGACGACTAAGGAGGCGATGGTAGAAGAAGAGCACGAGACGCGTGAGAGCGAAGCAGTATAGGGTGAGAGTGCTGGACAAGAGAAACAGGACGAGCACGAGAGGCACGGTGAGACCACCAGCGAGAGGGGGGGGGTCAGGTCAGGAGCAAAGGAGGAGAACGAGGGGGAAAACGAGCCAGGGACGAGTCTGACGGAGGAAAAACAACGCCGTAGACAGGCGGGGGAGGCGGCGGCGGGGGAGGCGCAGGTAGGCGGACGGGGGAGGGAAGACCTAGGAGGCGAAGGGCGGACACTGGCGACGACTGCTGCTGCTGCTCCACACTATCGCCAGGACCTTTAGCCGCACCACGGCTACCCCCGGGACGCTAAACAATAGCACCCCCAGAACGAGCACCCTCTCCGGCACCGGTGCCACCCCCAGGACCACCGGGACAAGCCACGGCAGTACCCCCAGGACTAGCACTCCCAGAACCAGCACCCCCAGAACGAGAACCCTCTCCAGCATTGGTGCCACCCCCAAGACCGCCAGGATAAACCACGACAGTACCCCCAGGACTAGCACCCACCCTTAGAGCTCGCGGACCCCTGCGGTGAGCTCGCGGACCGCAGAACCAGCACCCCCAGGACTGCGGCGGCTGCGGTTGCGGGGGCGGCTGTGACGGCAGCGACGGCGGCTGCTGCTGTGGTGGCGGAGGAGGAGACACAGGGGTGGAGATAGGCAGCGAAATCAGAGCTGCAGGGCCCCCAGAGTCAGCCAACTCCTCCACCGGGACAACTGACGGGAGGGGAGTGACATGAGACACACTTGACGGGGCAGGACGAGGAGGGAGTGGGGACCAAAAATAGGGGCGGGTAAGCAGGAGACCTTGGTGGAGAAAGCAAGTGTAGAAGGAGACAGAGTCGTCAAAAATGATGTCACGAGAGTGAAAGAAAATGTGAGACGGCATGTGGTAAAAGTGCCAGTCAGACGCGTCTAGGGGGAAACCAACAAAAACACTAGGGACGGTGCGAGCAGTGAGCTTGTCCATGCCAGAGATACAAACATGAGCGAGGCAGCCCTAGACGTGGAACGGAGACGTGTCACCAGGGGACCCGGTCCAGAGGAGGGTCAGCGAAACCTGCGGCCGCTGGGAGTTTGGCCACAGATTAAGCTGGTGAGCAGCGTAGCGAACAGCGAACGGCTACAGAAAATGGGGTGCACCGGCATGGATCATGGAGGTACGGGCCACCTCCATGACCAAACCGATGCGTCGCTCAGCAACCCCATTATGCTGTGGGGAGTCTGGCAGGGTGTACGACTGGATGATGCCCTCTGCACGACAGAATTGGCCAAGCCGATCGGAGGCGAACTCGCCGCCATGGTCGGAGTGAAGATGCAGCACAGGGAGGCCGCGGTGGACTCGCGCAGCTACGGCCCACGGGAGAAGAACGTCAGGCACGTCAGCCTTTCGCTCTAGGAAAAGCACCGTGGTGTAGCGTGTGTAGTCGTCGACAAGCATTAGAAAGTAGCGCTCTCGACGCGACCTAGGGACGGGGGCTGGGCCCCAAACGTCCAAGTGAAGGGTCTGGAGTGACGCAGTGATGGGGGGGAATGAGGAGGAGTGAGGAGCACGGCGGAGCCGGCCCTGGACGCAAGGCGTGCACGGAGGTGCGGGCAAGGGAGGGAGGGCAGGGATCGATGCAGGAAGACCGACAAGGCCGTGCTGGGACATGTGATACAGTATATACGCGGGAGAGCGGGGTGACCTAGGCGGTGGTGCCACAGATTCGACGGATGAGTGAGCGACTGACACGAGTAGGCCGCGTCGACCTGGGTAGACGCAACCACTTGGGGGGACGCCCTCACTGGGGGGGGACGCGGTGTCTAGCGTTAACAGGTCAGACACAGGGTCCCGGGGGAACATGGTGAGGGGAGCACCAGTAGCGGCCTCGATACAGACCAGGAGGGGGAAGTTCTGCCGACATCGCCCCAGTCGACATCGACACCACTTCCGCGGTCGTCGCCGCTCCCCTCGCAACTGCCGACGCCACCGTTGCCGCCGCTGCCGACATCGCCACCGATGGTGATGCCGAGCATGGAGCAGGACAAGGGTGTTGAGAAATGGAAGTGTGAGCCATAGTTCAATGGGAATGATTATTGGACTCGGAGCTGCCGGTTTGAGCAATGGGCAGAAGCATATGGCATTTGGGGATTCTGGAGGCTGATGGACCTGGACGCTCCTCACGCCGGCCGGGAATGTCACAAGGCCTCGATGACTTGGATGGACCGGGATCCATTCTCGCTGCCTGATTCCTAAGGCACGAAGCTCGATATATTCAGACGTCACTTTCGCAAAGCTCGATATATTCAGACGGGATTTTCGCGAATTATCTACCGAGTGGGTGCCCGCTCATACATGGCTGCGAAGATAGAGATAAACGATGTGGTTGACACGAATAAGAAGCACCAAGTAGCTGATACGCGTGTTTAGTAGTGATCGAAGGTGGAAATGAGTAACTAGGGTTTGAGTCTGGTCCACCTTCCCTGGTCTGGAATGGCAGGGGTTGAGATGAGGCAGAGGTGCTGGGTAACGAAAGCGGCGAAAGCGAATTCACAAGGTCAAGACTCTTCGTCAGGCCGTGATGGCCAGTGTTCATTCGTTCGTCAATCATCGATCCCCAGAAATAACAGCCTGGCCCAACGTTTCCCCAGACAAGTCAATCAGGAGGAAGAGCCCAGATTGACGAACCTCGGGAACATTTGCTCTCCACGTTCGCACATCTGTTGCGCGCAAACGCACTTGAAACATGGTTACTAGATTGAGGTTTGCGAGTTGACGTGTTAGGCAGAGGCTGCGAACTCGGCAACAATATCACAATTCGCGGACCAGTTACGGTCTTCGCCCGAACCAGAATTTCTGGGACATTCCTTTGACCCTTGCGAGGCGGGAGAGATCGTCTCAGCCACAGCTACAGCCCAGCAGGGCCTTCGCAAGGGCAGGAAGCAGACGAGTGGATTCATCCAGGCAGAACTCCAGAGAAGCGCGTCCGCACACTCCAGTCGCACCGCTAGGCTGGTTATATCGAGTACGAATATTGCGATTTGTGTCTGTCGCTCTACGGAAATAACCCGCCCTGAGCGCACGCGGTTCCGGGCTGCGAGACTCGGAGAGCGATTAGCTAGAAAATAATCCCATGATCGACCAATCGCAGCGTGCGTAGGACGTAACTCGATCAATCATGCTCTAGAGCCACGGGCGTTACTGAGACCAAGTGGATCCGTCCGTACGCGGTTCGAATGATGCCGGTGCATGGCAGCATGATGAATCTCGCTGAGGAAAGACGAAGCGGCAGCGGAACAGCTGGGCGTTTGTTGCGGAGATTCTCGAGTCTCTGCGAGTATGGCGGGATGCGGCGTCATGATTCGCTGCGAGTGGTCGTGTGGTCGGTGCTCTTGATAATGCTCCTCTCCCAGCCGTTTCAAGGTAATTTCGGAGGCCCTTAAAACGCGTCGTTTGTTGCGGAGATTCTCGAGTTTCTGCGAGTATGGCAGGATGAGGCGGCATGATCCGCTGCGAGTGGTCGTGTGGTCGGTGCTATTCATGCTTCTTCTCTCCCAGCCGTTTCAAGGTATTAACGGTTCCGCTTAAAACGAGTCATTCCTTGCGAGTGAGTGGCCGTGTGGTCGATGGTTCTCATGTTTATTGCCTCCCAGCCGTTTCAAGGTAGGGCTGCAGCGTTTCGGATGATAAATGGTTCCGTCCGTAGATAGTCGAATGTCGGTGCTTCATACCATGAATCTCGAGGCGCGTTGAAACAGCAGTGGCACAGCGGGACTTTAAGTGCGGAGATTCTCGAGTCTCTGCAGCGAGTATGGCGGGATGAGGCGGCGTGATCCGCTGCGCGTGGTCGTGTGGTCGGTGCTCTTGATACTGCTCCTCTCCCAGCCGTTCCAAGGTAATTTCGGAGCCGCTTGTAACGAGTCATTCGTTGCGAGTGGTCGAGTGAGTGGTGTGTGGTCGAGTGAGTGGTGTGTGGTCGAGTGGTGTGTGGTCGATGGTGCTCATGCTTTTTCCCTCCGGCCGTTTCGAGGTAAGGGCTCTCTCGTTTCCATTTCATTGACAATTGCGTATTTTGAACAATCTTGGCATACGCCGCGAATTTTCTCATGTCAGTCCGTTCGGGCTCTCAACCCATCCATGATTATTATTGACGTTTGCTCGAGGGGGGGGGGGAGGAGGGGGAAAGGGTGAGGGAAGGGGTCGGGGTGGGGAAGGGGTCAGGGGGGGGGAGGGGTGGGGGAATGCGCATATCTTTCCCTCACCGCCTTGCATCTGATGTCACCGCATCGTACCCTATTTCCCCCAATGCATCTCGCTTTCCACATGTCGACGCCTTTCATTTGCTCTTGGCTCCGCAGGTCCTCCAGTGGCTTGAATGGGACTCAAGAGCCCAACTAGCACGTTAACACGTGTTCAGCATACCCCATTCTCACCTTCCCTCGTCCTCGTCCACCATTTCAGTTGCTCTCGGCTCCGCAGGTCCTTCAGAGGCATCAAAGGGGCCCCGGGGCTCCCCTGGCTCACAGGGACACGTGTGCCGAAACATGGAATCAACCTACCCCCTGTGCGCCTTTCTCTTTTCCCTCTTCCTCCTCGTCCCGCATTTCTGTAGCTCTTGGCTCCGCAGGTCCTTCAGAGGCGTCACAGGGACTCGAGAGATCACCTGACACAGCAACCCATGCAGAAGGAACACCTGGAGCGGAAACACCTGGAGCAGAAACACCTGGAGCGGAAATACCTGGATCAGAAACACCTGGGGCAGAAACACCTGGATCAGAAACGGCTGTAGCAGAAACACCTGGGGCAGAAACACCTGGGGCAGAAATACCTGGGGCAGAAACACCTGGGGCAGAAACACCTGGGGCAGAAACACCTGGGGCAGAAATACCTGGGGCAGAAACACGTGGAGTAGCAGGAGGAGGATCAACAGACACACCAACAGAAGGATCTGTAGCAGCAGTTGCTAGGCCAGAACCAAAAGAGACAGTGGAAGAAGCAGCAGCTGCTGCTGCTGCTGCAACAGCAGGGACAGGAGAAGCAACAGCGGAAGGGGTACTACAAGCAGCAACAGCAGCAACAGAAGCAGCAGGAGCAGCTGAAGCAACAGGAGGAGCGGGGGGCGGAGAAACAGAAGCAGCTGTAGCTTCGGGGACAGGGCGTGAAACAACAGCTGCTGCTGCTAATGCTGCACCTGGTGGCAGCAGTGGCAGCAGCGGCAGCAGCGGTGGTGGCATGAAGCGAACGCACCACCTGTCGGATCCCACTAAAGTGGCTGGAGGCGGGGGAAGCAGAAGCAAAAGCTATGTGGGGGATAGTGGCAGTGCCAGTGGTGCTGCTGGCGGTGCTGCTGCTGGTGCTGCTGGGCATGCAGAGCGCGGCAACCCCAAGGCTTTTCGGTTCACGAATGAGGATTTGCTGGATGCAATGGATATTCTGGTGAGATATCTATTAAGATAAGATCTGCTGTATGCAATGAATGTGCTGGTGGTGAGAGAGTGCTGGTGGTGAGAGAGTGCTGGTGGTGAGAGAGTGCTGGTGGTGAGAGAGTGCTGGTGGTGAGTGGCATTATATTCTGTTTCACCGTGTATGGATAAGCTGCTGAGTGGCACGGGTATGGTGGTGGTGGGTGGGTAACGTAACATAAATATTTACTCACTAATGTGGCGAGTAATTCGGTGAAAAGTTCGTATATCATAGCAGTGTACTCGGTATTACAGATACATCTTTTGGTATTGATGGTGCGTGATACACATGGCATGGCATGGCATGGCATGGCATGGATGTGCCATTGTATTGAACGTTCACATTGCATTGAACGTTCCCCCCTCCACCACCCCCTGGCCCAAGGTCGATTGCAAGGCAAAGGGCAGTGTGCCAGCAGGCAGCTCTCTAGCGGGTGAACCACATCACCTGCCGCCCCTGCCTCATGCTCCCTTCCTTGCCCTCTTGTATTTTGAGTCGACTCAAAATACAACTGGACAAGCTGACACACGGTTTATTCTCAGGCCGACGTGCATTGATTGCATGGAAGTTGCCAAAGAAGATCAAGGATTTTATAGTCTCAGCAAGAAAATGCTAGTTTAGTGTTTCAAACTTGTTACACTTATCTAGATTTTTGCTAGGCTACAGTGTCCCCTTCTCGGGGATGGTGTGGACCCTCGAGTTCTTCTCGGGTCGCACTCTCACTATTTAGACAGCTCGAATGCTCCGATGTTCAGTAGATGCTGATGAAGGCTTGTATAAGCCGAAACTAGTTCATCACTGGTTTTCCATCAAAACCTCCTGAACATCCCTTCAGCTCGAGCTCTTTCAGAACCGCTGCCTCGCAAGGCTTTCTCCACCATGGTTAACCCTGATAAATATGGGTCCATTGGTCTCGCCCCTTACATCGCCGCTGCGCTGGCCGGTTCAACTACTCCAACTCCAACTCTTAACCAAGTACCTGCCCTTCCTGGACCATCAGGGCAACTGCCCGAACTTCCAGCTAACATTGAGCAGATTGTATTTGGTGAAGATGACTCGACGAATACCGTCCAACCCAACAAGAAGCGCGCCTGTCCTACAGAGCAAGCTCCTGCTGGAACGGCCACCGTGCCGCTTAATGACGCACCGAAGGGTTCAAATCCTAAGGATTCCTCTCCAGAGGATGTCGTCATGACGGATTCTTTCTCCTTCCTTGGAGACGTCGATCAATCTATTCTCGACAAGCACCCGGTTCCTCCGTGCTTCAACGATTTTAAGAATCAAGCTATCGCAGATTTCAAGAAAATTTTCGCGAAGCACCAAAGTTTATCTCAGCAACACCTTATTATGGATTCGCAAGCCAAATCCGGGGACGTTCCTCACAGCATTCGGATTAAAGCCTTTGACTTCATCTGTCCCTACAAAGATATCAAGATAGAAGCCAACAATGAGCTGCATACTGCCTGCAAGGCTTATCTTGGGAACGTTCAAGGGATCATGATAAAAATGAAGAAGAAGGCCGCCGAAAAGGCTCTCAGTGACGCCAACGGGGTTCATCAATGGCTCCAAGATAAGCTGAATAATTACATCGATCTGACCAAGGCCAGTGCTTTCGGAGACAAGCACCCGAAACTCATCGATAATCTCGCCTTCTTCAAGGATAAGATTCTGGCCGAGTTCGAAAATTCGATGTCGCTGTACCTTGCTGACGCTCTTATGGCAGAAGTCCACCAAACGGAAAGAGCCAAGGAGGTTGACGCAAAGAAGAAGGCGGCTGCTGCGGAAGCCGAAACTTTACCGGTTGACACTTCGATCCGTGAGATCGTCAAGCAGGAAGCTGATAAGATCCTCAACAAGAAGTTCAACCCACAGCAGAAGCAGAAGCAGCAGAGTCAGAAGCAGCAGATTCTGAAGAATAAGTCCCAGACTTCTAAGAAGGCTGGCGACTCTTCGGTGACTTCAAACAAACGTCCTGCTAAAGGACCCGCTAACAAGCCCAATCGTCCGCTTGACAAGGGGAAGAAGCCGGTACAGGAATACTCCTTCGGAGGTTCCAATATTGCATCTTCTTCCAAGAGTCCTTATGTTGCTCCGTCTTCCAAGGCTTCTAACTCTTCTACTGGCAGGAATAATAATCCGAAGCAGAAGCAGGACCAGAAGCTGAGGCACAAGCCTAAGCAGAATCACCAGTCAAAAAACGGCGGAAGCGGCCGCGGAAAGGGGAAGAAACCTTAGTCGCGGATGTTCACCACTACGCCTTGATTCTCTTTGGTCGAAAGACCGAGAGTCAAGTGCGGTGTCGTGTGAGCAACAAGGACTACCACAATTTCTCCCGTTGTCATTTCTCTCCTTCTGAAGCAGAAATCCTCGGCATGGGTCTCAGCTTTATCCCGGTTCCAGCTGCTCGTCATATCAATTCTTTCGCTGAAGAGTTAGAAGGTCTTGTTAAAGACGTTCGTACGACTATTTTGTTCAACGGTGCTGCAATGAAATCTGACTTTCCCGGTTACAAGCTTCCCAAACGGCTGAACTGGAATCCTCCCCTCGCATCTGCTGAGGTGGAAACAGCACTTTCACTCTTCAAGCGTGAAGCCATGAAAGCAGTTTCAGAACAACAATCCTCCAGGAGAACTTCTAAACTGCTACCAGCACTTCGGCGACTGGCTTCCAACCAGAATTTGGTTTTTAAACCCGCCGACAAAAACCTGGGTTTGGCTGTCATGGACAGGGATTTTTACAAGGACATGTGTTTTAAACATCTCCTGGACAGGCAAGTTTATCGCGAATACCAAGAAGTCCCGGTTGCTGAAATTGTGAAAGACTTCTATGGCATTCAAGCGGATTTCCAACCTCTGCTTAAGGCGAGAATCTGGAAATCCTTTCTTGCGCCGCCGGCTGGAGGCTGGAAAGTCCCGGCTTTTTACACTATCCCGAAGGTGCACAAGAAGGTCCTTGCGGGAAGACCGATCGCGGCTTCCCACTCTTGGGTCACTTCTAATGTTTCCCGTTGGCTTGACGCTGTTTTACGACCTCTGGTGACCAGCCAGCCGACGTACCTGAAGGATTCGCAGAGTTTACTCTTACTGCTGGAGGCTAAGAGACTTCCACCTAATCTTTTGCTGGCTTGATACGATGTGGAAGCCTTGTATCCTTCGATCCCGCTTTGGGACGGGATTGACGCGGTGGATTTTTTCTTACGACGTGTCAGGCACCCACTTGCCCCTCTTGTCGTCCGCCTGCTACGCTGGGTAATGTTTAACAGCTACGTGGCTTTCGACGGCAGATTTTTTCGCCAAATTCAAGGGACTGCTATGGGGACTTCCGCAGCAGTATGCTTCGCTGTCTTGTTTCTGAGTTATCTGGATCTAAAACTCAGTCGCGTCGTCAGTCACCTTCCAGCGCTTCACCTTCGGTATATTGACGATGGCCTCGTCCTCTGGGATGGGCCTCCTTCTTTGTTCGAGGAATTTCGACTCCAGTTTGGAAAACTGCATCCCTTCATCAAGTTGACCTGGACGGTTTCTCGGGAGGCTGTGGATTTCCTCGATATTACCTTTTTCAAGGGGAGTCGTTTTTCGAAGGAAGGTTCACTGGATGTGAGACTCTTCCAGAAGCCCATGAACCGGTACATGTATCTTCCGTACCGGTCTTACCACACCAGGAGCTGCAAAGTCAGCTTCATTTCCAGCGAGTTACGGCGAACACTTCTTCGATCTACGAACCGAGCTGACTTTTTCGCTGCTCGAGCTCTTTTCTTCGCCCGTCTTCGCGCCCGGGGTTACCCGGAACGTTTCCTTTTACAGATCTTCAAGCGTGTCAGATTTTCTGACCGAACCGAGCTTCTCCGACGTGCCGCTGAACTGCGGACCAAACCTGACCGTGGCCCCTTGGTCCTGAAGTGCCTCCTCAATCCTCTTGTGGAGCGCTCGGGTCTCGGGCCAATTTTGAGTCGACTCAAAATACAACTGGACAAGCTGACACACGGTTTATTCTCAGGCCGACGTGCATTGATTGCATGGAAGTTGCCAAAGAAGATCAAGGATTTTATAGTCTCAGCAAGAAAATGCTAGTTTAGTGTTTCAAACTTGTTACACTTATCTAGATTTTTGCTAGGCTACAGTGTCCCCTTCTCGGGGATGGTGTGGACCCTCGAGTTCTTCTCGGGTCGCACTCTCACTATTTAGACAGCTCGAATGCTCCGATGTTCAGTAGATGCTGATGAAGGCTTGTATAAGCCGAAACTAGTTCATCACTGGTTTTCCATCAAAACCTCCTGAACATCCCTTCAGCTCGAGCTCTTTCAGAACCGCTGCCTCGCAAGGCTTTCTCCACCATGGTTAACCCTGATAAATATGGGTCCATTGGCAGCTTTCTAGCGGGTGAACCACATCACCTGCCGCCCCTGCCTCATGCTCCCTTCCTTGCCCTCTCCATCCCTCCCCCCCTCGTCGTCCCTCCCTCCCAGTTCGCACGCAAGGTCTAAGCGCAGCGAGCCAGCAGCCATGCAGCGACTGGAGCAAATGGCTGGCCATCTGCCTCCCCTTCCTCGTGCTCCTTTCCTTGCCTTCTCCCTCCCTCCCTCCCTCCCTCCCGCCCTCCCTCCCTCCATCCCTCCCTTGCTCCCTCTTTGTCCCAACCTCTTATTTCGCACGCAAGGTCGAAGCGCAATGTGGTAGCAGCAGCCATGCAGCGACTGGAGCAAATGACACCTCTTGCCTTTCTCCCCCCCTCGTCTTCCCACCCACCCTCCTAGTTCGCCCGCAAGGTCGAAGGGCTATGTGCCAGCCAGCTGCCATCCAACAGTTGAAGCTGAAGCACATGCCACCTCGTGTTCTTATCCCCTGTGCGCCTTCTCTTCCCCCGCGCACCCCCCCAGTTCGCCCGCAAGACCAAGCGCAACGTGCCAGCAGCCATCCAGCAGTTGAAGCACATGGCCAGCCACCTGCCGCCCCTCCCTCCTGCTCCCTTCTTCCCATTTCCCACTGGCCCTGCCCCTCCATCCCCCCATTCTTCCTCCTCCTCCTCCCCCTCCTCCTCCTCTTCCTCCTCCCCCTCCTCCTCCTCTTCCTCCTCCCCCTCCTCCTCCTCTTCCTCCTCCCCCTCCTCCTCCCCCTCCTCCTCCCCCTCCTCCTCGTCCCCTCCTTACTCCTCTCCCACTTCTCATCCTCCCACTACCACTGCACCTAGTGATTCGGGGCAGCAGCAAGAGCAAGGCGTGGCAGGGGGAGGAGGGGGAGGGGGCGGGGCAAATCTCCACATTCCTCCTCCACTTCCTCCCATTCCTCCCCCTTCTCCTCCCTCCGCTCCCACTTCTCAACCCGCCACTACATCTGCACCTAGTGATTCGGGGTTGCAGCAAGAGCAAGGCGCGGCAGGGGTTGGGGGAGGGGGAGTGGAAATGGCAGGGGAAGGGGCAGGGGCTGTTGAATCAACGGACGAAAGGATTCGAGGGGTAGCGAGGGAGGGAGGGGTTGCGGCTGAGGGTGGGGGAGGGAAGGAGGGAGGGGTTACGGCAGAGGGCGGGGGGTTTGAGGCGAAGATACTCCCAGAAAGGGTTGCTGATGCTGACGCAGCTTGGAGGAACGAGGCTCTGAGAGCGTTGCAGGAGGAAGGGGAAGGAGGGGAGGAAGATGAGGAAGATGAGGAAGATGAAGAGGAGGAGGAGGAGAGTGAGGAGGAGGGTGTGGAGGAGGAAGGGGCAGAGAGAGAAGGGGGGAGTGATAGGGGGTTGAGTGAGGAGGAGGAATGGGCAGAGAGAGGAGGAGGGGGCAGCGATGGGGGGTTGAGTGAGGAGGAGCTGGTGGTGGCGAGTGATGCTGCCTTCCTGCTGGCAGTGATGGCAGGCACGGGGTTTGCACGGGAGGTGTATCCAAGGAATGAAACGCTGGTGAGTACCAAATTGCGTTGGGGAATAATGAGGAGAAGGGGAGAGCGGAGTGAGGAGAAGCTGGTGGTGGTCAGTCATGCTGCATTCCTGCTGGCAGTGATGGCAGGCACGGGATTGGCAGGGGAGGTGTACCCGAGGAATGGGACGCTGGTGAGTGTGAGTGTGAGTGTGCGTGTGCGTGTGAGTGTGAGTGTGCGTGTATGCACTGCACTCTAGTGTGTGTTTGTGCTTGCATGTGACACCCTTCCTGCTGGCAGTGATGGGATGAACTGGGTGTGTGCACGGGAGGTCCATCCGAGGAATGAGGGACTAGTGAGTGTGAGTGTGCAGGTCTGACATGGCAGGGAGAGTGTGAGGGTATGTGGCATGAGTCACTGGCGAGTGTGATTGCGAGTCTGATATATATGGCAGGTAGAGTGTGAGTATATGTAGTGGAGGCGTGAAACAAAGGGAGCAAAACAGTGGTGGCAGTGGTGGCAGGACCCATGCAGTGCAGGCCAAGACAGCACGAACAGCCCTCCTTCCATTCAACCCCTTTGCTTCTCCCTGTCCTTCACTTCGCCCTGTCTTTTGGCATCCAACCTCCTGGGCCTACCCTCACTCACTGTTGGAGTTTAAGCTAGCTTGAACCTAGGGATTAGGTGAGTAGGACCTAGCATACATAAAATCGAAAACACAGGGCTTGGCCGATCCAAGAATAATGGATCAGCCAAGCTGAGTTTTTCCTCCCTGGCAAAAAATGGCGCGAGGATTTTTCCCTCGTGAGGGCAAAAATCCTCGTGAGGAAAAAAAAATCCTGGCCAATTTCACCCGAGGAAAATTGAGTCCTCGAATCCTCGGCGGGGCGAGGCAAGGAATCCTCGCCGAGGACCCTTCTCAAAAAACCATCGTCGAACCCGGAAAACCGGAGGCGAGGAATTCCTCGCCTCGTTGGTCATGCCTGGCAGGGTCGGGCTCCATGCAGGCCCCCATGACAGCACAGACAGCACCAACAGCACTCTTTCCCTTCAACCTCTTTCGCCTCCTCCTCCCTCTTGCTCACCCTCTCCCCTCACTTTTGTCTTTCAACCTCTTCCTCCAGGGTCTGCATTTCCTTCGTCTGGTAGCGGATACGGACGGACGGGCTCCATGCAGGCGGCGGCAGCATTTCGTTCAAACCTCTCCATTCATCTGTTTCCTCCTCCTTTCACAGTTGTTTCAATTCAACCCTCTTTTTTCTCCTTCCCCTCCTCTTTTTCTGCCAGGCTTTGGAGTACCTCCGCCTGGCAGCAGAGACAGGCTCAATGCAGGCCATGACAGCACTTGCCAACCGGTTCCTCTATGTAAGATGGTACCCTCATTATAAGCTGGTCCGTTAGGAGCCTGAGGGGGTTCTGAGAGCAAGCAGAGACAGGCTCAATGCAGGCCATGACAGCACCCGCCAAACCGCTCCTCTATGTGCGTGAGTGTGAGCATGCTTATTCTATTTGCATATCAACCGCTTAGGGTCGTAATAGACTGTTGTAACTATCACGAACCATTCAGGCAGTGGCTGCGTTTGCCACTTATGCGAGCACACTTATTCAGTCTGCAAGCTGACCACTTAGGGTCTGGATAGAATGTTGCAGCTAGCTAGCCGGCCCTATCCATGCAGACAGTAAGTGAGTGTGAGAGGATTCACCAATCGATTCCGTTGTTGTGGCAGCATCATGCGTCCTTTATATGTCTGTGTCCCCCCGGATCACAGTTAGAGGTGACTCTTCATATCTAACCCCCTTTTCCCTCACCCCCCCCTTTCAAGCAAGCTCTCTACCTATGGCACCCAAGTGGTGTTCACTCGGACTTTTCCCTCACCCCCCCCCAATTCAGAGCCAGGGTGTCACCACTGGCTGTGAGACCTCTCGCACTTACCACCACAGCGTGGCAGGATACTTTAGCAGCAGCAGAGGCCTCTCGGGTGTGTGGGTGCCCCTCAATTGCATCCCTTGCCCTCCTCCCTTCCCCTCCCGTCCTCGTCCCCTCTCTTGATTGACTCAGGGCCAGGGTGTCTCTATTGACTGCGAGACATCTCTCACTTACTGCTGCACCGTGGCTGGCAGCAGACCTGACAGCAGCAGAAGCAGAGGCCTGAGGCCCTTTTCATTTCCCTCCCCTCCCCTTCTCTCTTCTGCTGTTCCTTTTATCAGGGTCGGGGAGTCCCCACTGACTGCAAGACCTCTCCCACTTGCTACCGGTGCGAGGCAGCAGACCTATCAGCAGCAGTAGAGGTCTAGGGGGTAACTTGACCTGCACCTGTTCCCCCCCCTCCCCTCCCCCCACCTCTCCTGTTGCTGCTCCTTTCATCAGGGTCGGGGAGTCCCCACTGACTGCGAGGCGTCTCTCACGTACTATCGCAGCGTGGCGGCGGACCTGTCAGCAGCAGCAGAGACATCGGGTGACCAGCAGTTGCCAAGGGACCCAGTGCGCCTGAGGGACTGGTTCAGGGATGGCGGTTACCAGCCACAGGCGTTTGATGACAACAATGCAGAGCAGGTGAGTGAAAAACTTATGCTTTGCTCTCTCGGTGCTAGCACCTGCCAAGGGACCCGGTCCGTTTAAGGGACTGGTTCAGGGATGGAGGTTACCAGCTACAGGCGTTTGACGACAACAATGCAGAGCAGGTGAGATTGGCGTAGAGTTGGCGTGTAGTTGACTGGTTTAGCGATGGAGGTTACCGGCCACAGGCGTTTGACGACAACAATGCAGAGCAGGTAAAGCCTTCAATGAAATATTCAGCTGCCGAGGTACCTTGCGTTGCGTCACTGAGGGGTCTTAGTCACAACTCCATGCTTCCTTTGCCTCCCTCGAGCAAGTCCGAGCAGAGCGGGAGGGGGGGGGTGGGGGAGATTCTCTTTGGCTAATGGGGCTCCTCCACCACCTCATCGGCCAGGCAGGGCATCCGCCACAACCTCTGTTTGCACTCCCAATGTGGCCACGCTGTTTGCCATGCTGTTTGCCTTGCTGTTTGCCATGCTGTTTGCCATGCTGTTTGCCTTGCTGTTCGCCACGCTGTTTGCCTTGCTGTTCGCCACGCTGTTTGCCACGCTGTTTGCGACGCTGTTTGCCACGCTGTTTGCCATGCTGTTTGCCACGCTGTTTGCCTTGCTGTTTGCCACGCTGATTGCCATGCTGTTTGCCACGCTGTTTGCCACGCTGTTTGCCACGCTGTTTGCCATGCTGTTTGCCACGCTGTTTGCCACGCTGTTTGCCACGCTGTTTGCCACGCTGTTTGCCACGCTGTTTGCCATGCTGTTTGCCACGCTGTTTGCCACGCTGTTTGCCACGCTGTTTGCCACGCCGATTGCCATGCTGTTTGCCACGCTGTTTGTCACACTGTTTGCCACGCTGTTTGCCATGCTGTTTGCCACGCTGTTTGCCACGCTGTTTGCCACGCTGTTTGCCATGATGTTTGCCACGCTGTTTGCCACGCTGTTTGCCGCGCTGTTTGCCATGCTGTTGTTTGCCGCTCTGTTTGCCATGCTGTCGTTTGCCGCTCTGTTTGCCATGCTGTCGTTTGCCGCTCTGTTTACCATGCTGTCGTTTGCCGCTCTGTTTGCCATGCTGTCATTTGCCGCTCTGTTTGCCATGCTGTCATTTGCCGCTCTGTTTGCCATGCTGTCGTTTGCCGCTCTGTTTGCCATGCTGTCGTTTGCCGCTCTGTTTGCCATGCTGTCGTTTGCCGCTCTGTTTGCCATGCTATCGTTTGCCGCTCTGTTTGCCATGCTATCGTTTGCCGCTCTGTTTGCCGTGCTGTCGTTTGCCGCTCTGTTTGCCATGCTGTCATTTGCCGCTCTGTTTGCCATGCTGTCGTTTGCCGCTCTGTTTACCATGCTGTCGTTTGCCGCTCTGTTTGCCATGCTGTCGTTTGCCGCTCTGTTTGCCATGCTATCGTTTGCCGCTCTGTTTGCCATGCTATCGTTTGCCGCTCTGTTTGCCATGCTGTTGTTTGCCTCTCTGTTTGCCATGCTGCTGTTTGCCGGGCCAATGTTCCCCATCTCGCCTGTGTCTCCCCTCTTTCCTTCCCTTCCCCAGGTGGAATTCGAGCAAGATCTAGCAGAGAGGGGGGTGCCAGAATCTCTCCGGCTAATGGGCTTCCGCCACCTCATCGGCCAGGGCATCCCCCGCAACCCCCAGCAAGCCCTGCACCACTTCCAATTGGCCGCTGCTGCTGGTGATGACGTGGCAGCCTTCAACCTGGGCTATATGCACATGACCGGGGCAGGCGGAGCAATCCCAAAAAACTTCACCGCTGCCCGGAAATACTTCCTGCAGGCGGCCTCGGGCAGGCACAAACTTGCAGCTGCCCAGAACGGGCTGGGAGTCTTGTACCAAAACGGATGGGGGGTAACTCAAAATCTGACCCTCGCACGAGCATTCTTCCTTAAAGCTGCAGAAAGAAACGACTCGGATGCTCTTTCGAACTTAGGGTATATTTACTTTGACGGGTTGGGCGTGCCGCCTAATGCATCCATGGCGGTGGGTTACTTTGAAAGGGCCATGGATGCGGGTCAGTGGAGTGCGCCATATACACTGGCCAGGATTCTGGATGGCTCACTGGTGTCTGCTTCTGCTGCTTACTCTGTTGCTGTTGCTGCTGCTGCTGCTGCAGCTGCGGCTGCGGCGGCGGCTGCTAGTGGTGGTGGTGGTGCTGCTGCTGCTGCTGCAGCTGCTACTACAGTGCCCCGGAACTGTTCCCGGGCGGCGAAGCTGTACGGCATTTTTGTCTCGGAGCGCATCGGGTGGGGGGCGGAGCTGAAGGAGGCGTCTGCTGCCTACGAGGATGGGGACTGGTGGAGCGGTTTAGTGCGGTACGGAATGGTGGCAGAGGAGGGCAGCAGAGTGGCAGCAGAGAATGCGGCTCACATGTTGGCACGCGGTCAGGGGTACTCTGGTGAGTTGGTCTCTCAGACAAGGCCAGGGGTGCAATGGTGATGAAGGTGGTATTATAACAGAGGACCAGGGGTACTCTGGTGAGTTGGGACTTGAGGTCTTGGAAGCAAGCATTCAATCCTTTCTTGGTGCCGCTCCATCCATGCCATGCCATGCCGTGCCATGCCATGCCATGCCATGCCATGCCGTGCCGTGCCATGCCATGCCATGCCATGCCATGGGTTTGGGGTGATCATCTATTTTTTATGAAGGCGTACGTATGCTGATGGTGTATTTTGAGTCTGCTCAAAAGGCTTTTGATTCCATTCAAAAGACATGTGACTTTTGAGCACATGGTATCGTGTCATCATGGCGTTGCAACCATGGTCGATGCTGCCATGCTCATGCTGCTCTTGACCATGCACCCCATATTTCCCCTTCCTTCATGCACCAATCGTTTCTCCCACGCCATGGCAGCTGTGCACATCGGGTCTGCTTCAGCCATGATACAGGCCGCCCTGCCCATGCTGCTGCCCATCATTCACCTCCTGTGCTCCCCTGCCATCAACCACCTGTGCTCCTTTCCCTCTACCCCCAAACTTCATCAGCCGCTGATCGCTTCACTCTAGCTCTAGACCACGCCATGAGGCCGGTGCGGTGCACATCGGGTCATCACCAGCCATGATCGATGCCACCCTGCTCACACACCCCCTGTGTTGCCCTTGCTTCCCCACCCCCCACCCCAAACTTCAGCCGCTAATCACTCTAGCTCATACACTCTAGCTCTAGACCACGCCATGAGGGCGGTGCACATTGGGTCGTTCATTCGTTTATTCTCCTGTGATCCTTTCTGTTCCCTGTCCCGCAGCCGCTGATCGCTACTCTCTTGCTCTAGACCACGCCATGAGGGCGGTGCACATCGGATCTGCTTCAGCCATGATCGATGCCGCCCTGCTCATGCTCATCCATCAACTGCCGCCCTTTGAGCCGCACCCATCCCTTTTCCAACCCCCTTCTGCTGAAACACACCATCCGGGACAGTCGCTTCCAGCCGTTGATCAACCCCTTTCTGCACAGTCAATCCCAGACGTTGATCCACACCAGTCAATCTCAGCCGTTGATAAGAATTCCACTGTGCAGCCGGTTACCGCATCCCCTGAGCCTGCCCCCTGCGACCCGCTCTCTCTGCTGCAGCGAGCAGCCGACCTTCACGAGCCAGAGGCTCTCTTCCACCTCGCTTACCTCCATATAGTGGGCCTCGATAACAGCACTAGCGGGTACAGTGCAGGGCCAGTCAGCTGGAGCAGCAGTAGTCGTGGGGGCAGCAACGGAACCAGCAGCAGCAGCAGCAGCAGCAGCAGCAATGGCATGGCAAACAGCAACAGCGCCATAGCCATCATAGTACCAGTGAATCTGACTCATGCGCATGAGCTGCTGATGTCAGCGCTGCGGTACTGCCACGAGGACGAAACCCTCCCTGTCTCCCTCGCCCTCCACTCCCTCTCCCTCCTCCGCCTCCTCCCCCCCTCCCTGCAATCCCTCCTCCTCCCCCTCCTCCCTCATTACGCCGCCGCTGCCACCACCGCACAGCATGGTGCGGTGCCGTTTGTTGGAGCGGTGGTGTCAGCACTGAGTCGTGCTGCATCATCGGTGACGCAGTCCGTGTCAGCGGCTGCGCAGTGGTGGCTGGATGCAGAGGATTACTTTTTCGGACAGCTGGAGGCTTTGCTTTTTGGTGACGATGACAGCAGCACCACCAGCACCAGCACCAGCAGCGCCGGCGGCAGTGGCGGCGGCAGAACTAGCAGCATGAGCGACACTGACACCAGCACCAGCAGCAGGAGCAGCAGAGGCAGCAGCAGCAGTGGTAGCAGCACTAGTAAAGGCAGCAGAGTGTGGCAGGAGATGGGCGAGTGGGACACAGTGGTGCTGATGGTGCTGCTGGGCATGCTGTCCGTGCTCTGGTGGTTCAGGACAACTGCTGCTGTTGCTCAGGCTGCTCTTGCTGATGCTGATGCTGCGATTGCCGACGCTACGGCAGCTGCTGAGGCTGCCATTGCGGAAGCCCACGCTGCTGTTGCTGATGGTGGTGGTGCGATTGCTGATGCTACTTCTGCTGACGCAGATGCTGCTGTTGCTGATGCAGATGGTGCTGCTGCTGACCCTGGCACTGCCAATGCCACGGCTGATGCTGTTGCTGGGAATGCTGATGCTGCCACTCCTCATACTCGTGAAAGGGTGGTTCTTGGCGCACTTGGTGCTGGGGATGTGAGACACGAGAAGCGTGAGGGCAATGGGTCGAGTGGGGGAAATGGGGTTGATGAGGGCAACGGGGACGGAAGGAGCAACGAGGAGGGGCCTGGCACACTCATGCACTCACGTGACGATGGTGCTCGCGGTGGTGCATCTGAGTCGACTCAGGAGAAGGTTCCTCGCACATACATGGATGAATGCGCTGATGGGGCTCGCAGTGCAGCGCCCGGCGTTGATCCTGATGCGCATGAGAGCAGGGGTGGGGATGGTCATGTGCATGGTCATGGGGATGAGCATGGGAATGGTCATGGGGATGAGCATGGGAATGGTCATGTGGAGCGTTTATCAACAACTGCTGCCAACGAGAGTCGGGGCTTACGGCAAAGAGCTGTGCAACAGAGGACTGCGGAGGATTCCCCTGACGAGTGACTTTTTTTTTGTGCAATTACCAGATACCCAAGTGTTATGTCTACTTGGGATGCTAGTCTAGGGCTGTATACACATGCCAATTGTATGCAGTTGTTTTATGCCATAAAGAACTTCAATGAGTGAACATAGATTGCATGTAGCACAAGTTTGCACTTGTGGATGCTCAACACGTATCAGTGTTTTACTGTATTCGCGGGTAATGTATGTCAACTGCAGCCATCCTGTGATGGTCACATCGGATCAGAATCACCTCCACCCTGGGTTAGGGAGTACAGTCTAGACCGCCTAGCATAGTCTAGATCGCTAATACGGTACCACTTTGCGATATCCTACATGGCTGAATGAGCCTAATCGAGGCCTCATTCAAGCGCCGACTTTACGACCTAATTCAAGAGAGGCTTTTATTTCGCGCTGCCACTCCCGTCCTCGATTCGCTGACTACTTCGCTCATCGAATGCGTTTCGTCACTTCCTAGGTTCCTGTCGCAGAAGGTCGTCGCAGAGATGGTCGCAGTCGCAGCGAGCGACCTCGCATGGCTGCTGCTGGTCGGCGCGGTCTGGGGAATCACGAATCCGCTCATCAAACGCGGCGCGGCAATGTCGAAGAAAAACGCTCAAGTGGAAATAGACGCGGCTGCCAAAAAATCTCCCGCTCCGGAGGGTTCGAGGTCGTTTCCCGGGAGCTTGACCCTCAGGACCCGGAGATTCTTCCACGTGCTGGCTCGTGATTGGCAGGTATGCCGGCCTGAGGGGGTAGGCCGGGGCTAAGAGTAGTGTGATGTCGTCAAGCTACCCTTGTGGGATGGTGGTGAGGGGATGGTGGTGAGGGGATGGTAGTGTGACGTCATGGGGAGGGGAGAATGCGGAAACGTTTGAAGTGGAATGTTTGAGAATGCTGAAAAATAGGCCGAGTTAGTTGTTTTAGAATTCTCAAATAGGCTGCGTGTCCAGCTACCGTTTTGGGTCAGAGTACCGTGGGCTCGTGTGCACATGGGAGTGCGGAGAGGTTGGGATTGGAACGCTTCTCGTGTTGAGGGAAGAATGCGGAAAACTCTGAAGGGGTTCGCTACGCTTCGGGCCAGAGTAGCGTCACAATTTCCGTGCTCGCATGAATGTTCCCTCCTCTACTTCGTCACTCCAAGAGGCGTCTGCGTATCCCTGGCCGTGCCAGCCGTCAACCCCGTGTCTTCCCGTGTCTTCTCCTCTCTCTCCCCCCTGCCCCCCCCCTCTTTGCAGTACTACACACCGTCGTGTTTAAAGCTCTCAGGTTCCCTCCTCCTCTTCGTCACTCTGAGGGCCGTCCACGTCTCCCTAGCTGTGCCGGGTAGCAACGCTGCACACCTCCCCTTCCTCACCCCCACCACCCCCCTCCCCCCCCTCCACCCTCCCCTCTTTGCAGTACTTCACACCGTTGTGTATAAACCTCTCGGGTTCCCCCCATTTCTCACTCTAAGGGGCGTCCATGCCTCCCTAGCTGTGCCAGTCAGCAATATTTTACTCCTCCCCTTTCCTCCACTCCCCGCCCACCCACCCCCCTCCCCCCCCCCCCCCCCCCCTCTTTGCAGTACTACACACCGTTGTGTATAAACCTCTCGGGTTCCCTCCTCTTCTTCGCCACTCTAAGGGGCGTCCACGTATCCCTGGCTGTGCCAGTAAGCAACGGCGCCACATTCGCCTTCAATGCAGCAGCTGCCTATGCCTTTGGCGAGAAAATACAACCGGGGCTGGCATTAGTGGGGATTTCATTGGGTGTGCTTGGCATAGCTCTATGCGTGTAGCAGGTGCTGCTACACTGTCCCATCCGCCTTAATGATATTGACACACTTTCTGAGAAGAGGGGGGGGAGGATGTTGGAAAATCCCATCCCTGTCACATAACTTTTCCTAGCGCATACATTCCCCGAACCCCGAACGTGCTACCATCACTCTTTGGGCTGTTGGTGTGCTTTCGAAACCTCACCTCCACCAGGCCGTCGTTCTCGTGTTGCCCTGCAAGCAACCATCCCTCAAGCCATGTCGCTCCCGAACACCTTGCATCACAACACACCTTCCTTGCTATTTAGGTGGCCCTATTTGACCCTGCTTGTGATTCCTCATTGTTTTGCCTTGATTATTATCAACTACCGGTACTTCTTTTCCACTTAGGCGCCTAGTATTTCTGTCACCCACAACAACCTTCTGTCAGCATATAATTTGTATATGTTCTAGGCTAGCTACGGTAGGTGCATGCTTATATAGAGTACAACCCCTTAGGTTACATCACCTTGTACAACCGCATTCAAGTCATTCGTTCTACCTTGAGATGGTATCACCTTAGGTTAGGTCCGCCGCCCGCTTCCGCCCTAGCCCCTATCGCCCCGCTGGCCCCTTAGCGCCCTGCTAGTCCCTTAGCACCTCGCTAGCCCCTTGGCGCCCCGCTAGCCCCTTAGCGCCCCGCTGGCCCCGTACGCCCCGCTGGCCCCCTAGCGCCCCGCTGGCCTCATCGCGCCCCGCTGGCCCCTTAGCGCCCCGCTGGTCCCGTACGCCCAGCTGGCCCCTTAGCGCCCCGCTGGCCCCTTCGCACCACGCTGGCCCCGTTTGCGCCACGCTGGCCCCGTCCGCACCCCACTGGCCCCGTTCGCGCCCCGCTAGCCCCGTCGAGCCCCACTAGCCCCGTACGCCCCACTGGTCCCGTTCTCGCCCCGCTGGCCCCGTGCGCCCCGCTGGCCCCCGTACGCCCTGCTGGCTCCGTACGCCCCGCTGGCCCCATTCGCCCCGCTGGCCCTGTCCGAGCCGCACAAGCCCCGTTCGTGCCCCGCTAGCCCCGTCGAGCCCCCCTAGCCCCGTATGCCCCGCTGGTCCCGTTCTCGCCCCGCTGGTCCCGTACGCCTCGCCAGCCCCGCGCCTGCTGGCCCCGTTCTCGCTGGCCCCGAGCTAGCCAGCCCCACGCTTGCCGGCTCCCGCACTCGCCAGCCCCGGGCCCGCTGGCCCCGCGCTCGCCAGGCCTGAGCTCGCCGGCCTCCAGCTAGCTAGCCCTCAGCTTGCCAGCCCCCGGCTCCACCGGCACCTGCTCCGCCGGCCACAGCCCGCACCGGACCTGCGCCGTGCAACCGCTGCGCAGCTGTGCCGCCGTGCCGCCCCCGACCTACCGGCCTTGGCTCCTCTCTGCGCCGGCACTCCTGCCGGCTGTCTCCACCGCTCTTCACCGCACTCCACCTCCCTCCACCACACTCCACCGCTCTCCGCCGCCCTGTCCTCCGCCTTTGCTCCCCTCCTTGCCACCAACAGTCAGCTGCTGCAGCTGTGGTGTTGGCGGACTCACTGCTCCGCTTGGACGCGGAGGGTTGGCGATCGACTTCGAGGCGTGGCTGGTCGATCTTCGCCATCACCTTACAGGTCAGCGCCAGGACGGTCACTCCCTGACTGTTCATGTCGATGGCCTGCTTCCCTGCCCCGCTGCGCCTGTTGCCCTCCATGCTGCTCCCACCACTGCTGAGCGTGAGGCCTTTTCCGCTGCTGTGCTTGCTCGTGCTGCCTGGGACTCACGCGACGCCATCGCGCAGCTTGCTATCAATCACGCGCTTCCCCTGTCTGAGCGTCCCCACTTTACCACTGTAGCAAACGCCAAGGAATTCTTAGAAGCAGTCATCGCCCGCTACTCCACCCGTGCCTCGGCTTCTACTGGCCGCATAATCCTCCCCATGCTGTTCCCTGATCTTGCGTCCTTCCCCACTGTCGCCGATCTTGCCACTCACCTCCACGCACTTGAGACTAGCTACTGCGCCACTAGCACTGAGGCTCAGCTCACTGCCTTTCCGCCGCCGCTTTGCACTACCCTCTACCTCATTGCCACGCGCCTTCCAGACCACCTAGCCACTGCTCGCGACCACTTCCTTAGTCAGAACCCAGGTGACCTCACCCTTACCGCCTTTGTCACCACCCTGTCCGAGATAGAGACCCGCCAGTGCACTGTTGCTCAGTCTAGCGGTACTACGACAGTCCCTATCTTTCAGGGCTGTGCTCCCTCCCAATGCACTTGCTCTGAAGTCTCTGCTGCTGAAACTGTTGTTGCAGCCTCAGTGTAGCCGCGTTAGGGTAGGGGCCGCCAACCCAAGGGGGGGCGTGGCGACGGGAAGGGTGGTGGGGGTGGTGGGAGTGGGGGGGGTGACGGTGGTTCCGACGAGGAGGCTGGGCCTGGTACCCCGGAGGAGCAGCAGCAGCAGCAGCAGCCTCAGCAGCAGCAGTGGGGCCGCCTCCCGCCGGGGTGGCCCGGCGCCTCAAGTGGTGGTGGCCACAGTGGTGGCCCTTGCTGCTCGGCGTCGGGTGGCAGCTTTGGCGCTGTGGGTTGCTAGTATCGGCTTCAGACCGACCCCTTTCGAAGCACTGTGTGTGGTTGTACTAGTTACTCTGCCGCCGGCTGCTTCCGCCACCTCGACGATATCTTCCGTCTCCGCTTCGGCCGTGCGCCGGACCTTCCCGACTGGCCCAGTATGGTGCGTCGCCGTGTGCTTGTCTTTGAGATGGATATGGATCAGCTTTGCTCCACCTTGCATGCCATATATGCTGATGCCTCTAGTGTGACCGGACCTTATTACCCTGTGTTGCCTTGTCTAGGCTCCCCTGCTGCATCAGGCGTAGGACCTTCTGCCTTGTTTATCCTAGGCTCCACGCTAGCCCCTCCGCCAGTTGCCGTTACCGCTTTGCTCTCGATCACGCTTGACTCTGGTGCACCTGCCTGCTTCTTCCGCGACCACACTGCGCTCATGCCGCTCCTGCCGCTGTCGCGCTTGCTGACCCCTCCTCAGGTCCGGTAGTTGCCCGTTCCTCCACTACGCTTCCCTGTCCGACGGTTCCCTTGGGCTCCCTTACAGGCCTGCGCATCCCCTCGTTCTCAAGGAACCTAGTTGGTGTGGGCTGTTTTCAGGACCTTGGCATCACCACTACGTTCCCTGGCCACGAGCGGTACGCGGTCTGTACTGAGGCCGCAACGCGTGCCCCCCTCACCACGTTCCCCCGGGACCCGGTGTCTGGCCTATTTACGCTCGACCCCATGCAGTAGACACCTCTGCCAATAGATCACATGCTCTCGACTCCTGTTCTTGAGGAGTCTGTAGTGCCTAATGGTCCTTACGCAGAGCTAGTGGGTTGCCTGATGTACCTGATGACTTGCACTCGTCCAGATCTCGCATACCCTCTCAGCATCCTGGCTTGCTTTGTGGCCATATGCAGACACCGACCGCAGCACTGGACGGCCGCTAAGAGGGTTTTACGTTATCTAGCAAGTACATCGGGCATGGGGCTAGTGCTAGGAGGACGCAGGCCAGTGATCCTTACAGGGCACACAGATGCTTCGTGGGCAGACGACACTGAGACACTCAAGTCCTCTCAAGGCTACTATTTTAGCCTTGGTGCGGGGGCCATCTCGTGGAGGTCCACTTGCTCGTCGTCTGTTGCTCAGTCGAGCTGCAACGTCGAGATCTACGCTGGTGCCATGGTAGCACAGGAGCTCCACTGGCTGAATTTCTTACTCACAGACTTAGGTGAGCGGCCTAGCTCTGCCCCGGTCCTGTACGCTGACAACAGGGCCAGGATCCTCTTGTGTCAGGAGCCTCGACTGGAGGGCAGAGCGAAGCACATCAGCTGCGGTACTTTCTCCTGCGCGAGCTCCAGGAGCGCCGCCAGGCCCCCGTAGTACACTTGGCCTCAGTTGCTAACACAGCTGATATCTTTATGAAGGCACCTGCGCCTAAAGATCTTCAGCGACACTGTGTACAGCTTGGTCTAGTTCATGTAGCTTCTCACTAGCTAGGTCCCTGACTGTGTAATACTACATACACTGGCGGAAAGTATTGCCCGGATAATTGCCTTAAAACATTTCTCGTACTGGTTTGGTGCCTTCTTTGTTTAGTTACGAATCAAATTTCGGGGTTGGATGTAAAGTAGTACTGTAATGTATGTGACGGATGCTGGTTTCAGTTTTTTAGGGGTCGATTTTTTACCGAGGACGAGATTTCGTTCGCGTGGGTGCATCCGGACAGATCAAGCCAAGCAGCGTAGTAGATCTATTTCCTAACCTCGCTATTTCTTCTTACTTGCCCTCGCGACTATCGAGTAGTCAGGAGATGGGCTAGGACCGCTGCGACTATTAGGCCGTCATGAAACCGTTAGATGAGGCGCTCTACGCATAGGTCATTCCCTTGTTGCGGAGGGGGTATTGCAATCGTTGAATCGTTAAACAGCTAGGCAGAGGGAAGAGTTCGGTCCATCAAGGCGATTGTAGAGTCTAGCCGCGATGACGTGCGTCCTACAATGCCCTCAGCCGGTCGCTCTAGCTTAGTGACAGAGAGAGTTCGCCGCGGCATAGTTCGGTCGATTACAAGCGAGGAGGTAGAAATCTCCGCTCACGTGGCGAAAATCATTGAGAAGCAGCACGGCATCACGTTGCATCCTAAGACATTGCGTAACGCTTTGAATGGGAGCGGACTTGTCGCAATCAAGCATCCCAAGAAGCCGCGACACTCTCGGAAAAACATACGCGATAGGCTGGAATGGGCGCGTGCCCACGCAGACTGGACGGTTGACGACTAGAAGCGAGTGATCTGTTCGGATGAGACCAAGATCGGTCGTCTTGCATCCGACGGACTCTCATACGCCTGTGTTCACGAAGGGACAGCCCTCCAAAGACACCAAATCAAGCAGACTGTCAAACACGAGGGCGGTTGCTTGATGATTTACGACGGCATGTCGTAAAAGGGAGCGGGTTTCATGAGCAAAACATATGGTAGGATGGACGGACTGCTCTCGCTGAGTATACTGCAGGACGATCTTAACAGTACGATTGAGCTTTACCAGCTTACACTCTCGGAAACTATCTTCCAGCACGACAACGACCCGAAGCACAAGTCACGTATCGTATAGGAGTGGCTTAGAGAGCAAGATTTTGGGGTGCTAGAGTGGCTGTCTTCCTCACCCGACCTCAACCCAATGGAGCATTTATGGGCTCATCTCAAGAGGCAGCTGACCAAGCCTTATAAGCCTCCCACTGGTATGCTGGACCTTTGGGAGCGGGTGCAGGAGGAATGGGAGAAGATCCCGGCGGATGTGTGCACCCACCTGGTGGAACGCATGCCCAGGAGGGTGAGGGCGGTGATTA